CCTGCTCGTCCTGTTCTCGTCCTCCTCGTCTTGCTCGTCCTCCTCCTCCTGGTGCTCTCTCCTCCTCCTCCTCCTCCTCCTCCTCCTCCTCCTCCCTCCTCCTCCTCCCTCCTCCTCCTCCTCCTCCTCCTCCTCCTCCTCCTCCTCCTCCTCCTCCTCCTCCTCCTCCTCCTCCTCCTCCTGGTAGTCCTCCTCCTCCTCCTCCTCCTCCTCCTCCTGGTCCTCCTTCTCGTCCTCCTCGTCTTGCTCGTCCTCCTCCTCCTGGTGTCTCTCCTCCTCCTCCTCCTCCTCCTCCTCCTCCTCCTCCTCCTGGTGGTCCTCGTTCTCCTCCTCCTGGTACTCTCCCCCCCCCTCCTCCTCCTCCTCCTCGTCCTCGTCCTCCTCCTCCTCCTCCTCCTCCTCCTCCTCCTCCTCCTCCTCCTCCTCCTCCTCCTCCTCCTCCTCCTGGTACTCCTCCCCCTCCCCTCCTCCTCCTCCTCCTCCTCTTCCTGGTCGTCCTCCTCCTCCTGGTCGTCCTCCTCCTCCTGCTCGTCCTCCTCCTCCTCCTGCTCGTCCTTCTTCTCCTGCTCCTCCTGCTCCTCGTCCTGCTCCTGCTCGTCCTCGTCCTCCTGGTCTTGCTCGTCCTCCTCCTCGTCGTGCTCTTGCCCCTGCTGAAAATGTGGCCCAGGAATGGGAGTTCTGGGAAGTCGAAGAGCACGAAGTTGCCTACAGTTGGCTACGGGCATTCAAAATGTGGCCCGGGAATGGAGTTCTGGGAACTCGAAGAGCACGAAGTGGCCTACAGTTGGCTCCGGGCATTCAAAATGTGGCCCGGGAATGGAGTTCTGGGAACTCGAAGAGCACGAAGTGGCCTACAGTTGGCTCCGGGCATCAAAAAAATTCTCGGTGTGTGACTCGGGAACTCGAACTCGAAGAGCACGAAGTGTGTGACTGTTGCATCCGGTTATTCTAAAATGTGGCCCGGGAATGGCGTTCTGGGATCTCGAAGAGCACGAAGTGTGTGACTGTTGCATCCGGTTATTCAGAATGAGCCTGGGAATGGAGTTCTGGGAACTCGAAGAGCACGAAGTGTGTGAATGTTGGTGAAAAACGAGGTGGACACAGCCCGCCCGGCAACTCCCAACACCTGCCCGGACCCCCCTGTGGAGTGATCTGTGACCTCTTCTGAGACTACTAGAAACCTATCAGTCTTCGCTGTTAGGTAAAAAAACCTCCAAGACGGCTCAAGATGGCTTCCAAGATGGCCAAGATGGCCCAAGATGGTCCAAGATGGTCTCCAAGTCCGCCCAAGATTGTCCAAAACTGCCTCCGAGACGGCCCAAGAGAGTCCAAGACGGCCCCAGACGGCCCAAGAGGCCCCCCAGAGGCTCCCCAGACGGCCTAAGAGGCCTCCACGAGGTCCTCCACGAGGGCCCGAAGAGGCGGAAATCTGTGCTTTTCCGTATGTTTTTGAAGGATCTTGGAATGTGTTTCTTCTCGGCATTCCGACGGCTCAAGACGACCCAAGAGGCCCCCAAGATCGCCCAAGTGGCCCCCAAGAGGGCCCCATGACGGCCCAAGAGGCCTCCAAGACGGCCCCAAGAAGGCCCCAAGACGGCCCAAGAGGCCTCCAACACACGCCCAAGATGGCCTCCAGGACGCCCAAGATGGCCTCCAAGACGGCCCCGAAGCGCCCCAAAAGGGTCCCCCGTTGGCCCAGAAATGCCCCCAAGACGGCTTCCGATGGCGTCAGACGTGCCAGGAACCCACCAAGATGGCCGAAGTTGGCTCGAAGCTGGCCCAAGACGGCCCAAGAGGCCCCCAAGAGGGCCTCCAGGAAGGCCAGGAGAAGCCAAACACATTGATTTTCCTATGGTCGTTGACGGAGTTTGACATTTTCTTCTTTTCGGCCTTCCGACGGCCTGAGACGGCCCAAGAGCTCCTAAAGATCGCGGAAAGATCGCCCAAGAGGCCTCCAAAATGGCCCCAGAACGGCCCAAGAGGGCCCCAAGACGGCCCCAAGAGGCCCCCAAGACGGCACAGGAGGCCTTTAAGACGCCCAAGATGGCCTCCAAGACGGCACTGGAGCAGTCCAAGAGGGCCCCAAGTGGGCCCAGAGATGCCCCCCTAACTGCTTCCGACGGCGTCGGACGGACCAGGAGCCCGTCAAGACGGCCGAACATGGCCCTAAGATTGCCCAAGACGGCCCAACAGGCCTCCAAGAGGGCCCCCAGGAAGGCCCGAAAAGGCCACAATCATCTTTCCCATGGGTTTTTGAAGCATTGCGGCATTTGCTTTTTTTTCGGCCTTCCGAAGGTCCGAGACGGCCCAAGCGCCCCCAAAGATCGCCCTAGAGGCCCAAGACACGGCCCCAAGAGGCTCCCAAGACGGCCCAAGAGGTCTCCAAGACGCTCAAGATGGCCTCCAAGACGGCCCAAGAGCCCTCCAAGACGTCCTCCAAGAAGGCCCGAAAGGGTCAGAATGGCCTCCAGACGGCCAAGATGACCTTCAAGATGCCCACGTGTTCCCCGAAAGCTTTCCAAACCGACTCGGGGAACACATGGTCCGATGGCTTGGCAGGCCTCTGGCCACAACCTTCGGCCACATAGGCGCTTCCAAAAAGGCAGGGGGCGGCGGTGATTCGCCGTAGGCGTCTTCGATCCGCCGCCCCCTGTCGATTCATCGCAGGGGTGCCTGGCGTGCTAGACCTCTCGGTTTTGGTTTTGGCTTTTTTTCCGAAAGAACTCCCCCTGGCGCTTCGGCCCGTCCCGCCGGGGTCCCGGGAGGCTCTTCCAGGAGCGCAAACTCAGGAACAAATCCTCCCTGAAACGGCCGTTTCGCTCGGGACATCCTCAAACAATCGCGAAGATGGCCCAAGATGGCCTCCAAGTCGACCCAAGATGGTCCAAGACTGCCTCCAAGACGGCCCAAGAGAGTCCAAGACGACCCAAGACGGCCCAAGAGGCCCCCCAGAGGCCTCCCAGACAGCCCAAGAGGCCTCCAAGAGGTCCTCTAGGAGGGCCCGAAAAGGCCAAAATCATTGATTTCCCGTATGTTTTTGAAGGATCTTGGAATTTGCTTCTTCTCGGCATTCCGACGGCTCAAGACGGCCCAAGAGGCCCCCAAGATCGCCCAAGTGGCCCCCAAGAGGGCCCCATGACGGCCCAAGTGGCCCCCAAGACGGCCCCAAGAGGGCCCCAGGACGGCCCAAGAGGCCTCCAACACGCCCAAGATGGCCTCCAAGACGCCCAAGATGGCCTCCAAGACGGCCCCGAAGCGCCCCAAGAGGGTCCCCCGTTGGCCCAGAAATGCCCCCAAGACGGCTTCCGACGGCGTCAGACGTGCCAGGAACCCACCAAGGTGGCCGAAGTTGGCTCGAAGCTGGCCCAAGACGGCCCAAGAGGCCCACAAGAGGGCATCCAGGAAGGCCAGAAGAGGCCAAAAACATTGATTTTTGGCCTGGGGTTTTCGAAGGATTTTGACATTTCCTTCCTTTCGGCCTTCCGACGGCCCGAGACGACCCAAGAGCCCCCAAAGATCGCCAAAAGATCGCCCAAGAGGCCTCCAAGACGGCCAAGATGACCTTCAAGATGCCCACGTGCTCCCCGAAGGCTTTCCAAACCGATTCGGGGAACACATGGTCCGATGGCTTGGCAAGTCTGGCCTCAACGTTCGGCCACACAGGCGCTTCCAAAAAGGCAGGGGGCGGCGGTGATTCGCCGTAGGCGTTTTCGATCCGCCGCCCCCTGTTGATTCATCACAGGGGTGCCTGGCGTGCTGAACTTCTTACGGTTTTGGTTTTGATTCTTTTCCAAAAAGAACTCTCGCAGTGGGCTCTGGCGCGTCCCGCCAGGGTCCCGGGAGGATGCCGAAAGATCTTCCAGAGGTGGTTGCAAAGGGTTTTTCCGTTCCAGACGGCTCCAAGATGGCCTCCAGGATGCCTCCAAGACGGCCAAGATGCCCTCCGAGACGGCTAAGATGGCCCCAAGATGCCTCCAAGACGGTCCAAAAGGCACCCAAGACGGCCTAAGATAGCCTCAAGATGGCCCAAGACGGCCCAAGAGGCCTCCAAGACGGCCCAAGAGGCCTCCAAGAGGTCCTCCAGGAATGCCCGAACAGGCCAAACTCGTTGATTTCCGCTGGGTTTTTGACAGATTTTAGCATTTGCGCCTTTTCGGAGGCCTCCAAGATCGCCCCCAAACGGCTCCCGACGGCGTCAGACGGACCAGGAACCCGCCAAGACGGCCGAACATGGCCCTAGGATGGCCCAAGACGGCCCAAGAGGCCTCCAGGAGGGCCTCCAGGAAGGCCCGAGGCCAAAATTATTGATTTCCCATAGGTTTTTGAAGCATTGTGGCATTTGCTTTTTTTCGGCCTTCCGACGGCCCGAAACGGCCCAAGTGCCCCCAAAGATCGCCCTAGAGGCCCAAGACACAAGAGGCCCCGAAGACGGCCCAAGATGTCTCCAAGACGCTCAAGATGGCCTCCAAGACGGCCCAAGAGCCCTCCAAGACGTCCTCCAAAAAGGCCCGAAAAGGTCAGAATAGCCTCCAGACGGCCAAGATGACCTTCAAGATGCCCACGTGTTCCCCGGAGGCTTTCCAAACCGATTCGGGGAACACATGGTCCGATGGCTTGGCAGGTCTGGCCTCAACGTTCGGCCACATAGGCGCTTCCAAAAAGGCAGGGGTGATTCGCCGTAGGCCGTAGGCGTCTTCGATCCGCCGCCCCCTGTCGATTCATCGCAGGGGTGCCTGGCGTGCTAGATGATTTCGGTTTTGGTCTTGGTTCTTTTCCAAAGCACTCCCCCTGGGGCTCCGGCGCTTCCCGCCGGGGTCCCGGGAAGGATCTCAAAAGCATCCTCTGGATGCCGAAGCGGTTGCCGAAGTCTCCCCTTCCTCTACATCATCCTGCTGTGTCCTGCCGCGCCCTTCCTGTCCCTGCTCCTCCTCCTCCTCCTCCCCCTCCCCCCCCTCCATCGCGATAACGCTTGCGCAATGGGCAGGGGCTCGGCCGACTGCCTTCTGTACTGGCCAGCGTTGATGCGGTTCAGCATGTCCTGGTCGTCGGTGCTGTTCAGGGTTCGCTCCTCATTCGTGCCGCGGTGCGCAACGGTGTTAAAGGCTTTCGCGATAGCGGCGAACATGCGCCCGCGCGCGAGAGGGCCGCCCGGCCGCGGCGAGCCGCCCCGGCGGACGCTGGTGCCGCAGAGCCCACAAGATGCTGCAGATCCGCGCGCAGAGTCCGGGCTCCACCCGCGAGGCTCGCGCTACGCAGCGCTACGTCTCAGAATCATGCTCTCGCTCCCGCTCCCCCTCTCTCTCTCTCCGGTAGAGGGGAACAATTACTGAACACTCCCCCTCCCCCCAACCCCAATGTTGGCACGCGCGGGGGAGACTGCGGTCGAAATGCATCTCATCAGACCCACCGCCAACTTTGAACACTGGGGGGAGGGGGAGCCGTTGACAGATGATGGTGGCATCATGAGTGTTCGCTAATTTGTTCCGAGGCCTGTCTCTCTCTGGGCACCGCTTGCGCTACACAGCGGTCCGCCGCGACGACCTGCGGAGCAGGCGCCCGCTCCCGCTGCGCGCGCGGCTCCGCGGAAGCCTCGCCCAGCTTGCCACGGCCGGGCGCTCGCGGCCACCACAGCCGCCGCCAGACCCCGACTCTCTCCTCCAGTCAACAGCACGGGGCCGCTCCGGGAGCCCGCGCCAGGGGCTGCTCTTTTTTTTGTCTCTCTCTCTCTCTCTCTCTTTCTTTTTCTCTCTCTCTCTCTCTCTCTTTCTCTCTCTCTTTCTCTCTTTTTCTCTCTCTCTCTCTCTCTCTGTTTCTTCCCCCACCTCTCTCGCCCTCTGTGCACCGCTCCGTTGTCGGCGCGCCACGTGTGGGCGCGGCGGGGTTAAATGTCCAGCCATCCACGCACCATCGCACATGCCACTGCGTGCCCGCATGCCCAGTCCTACGCGCACTGCGAGCCGATGCCGCGAGACGTGCCCAGGATCTGCTCACGCCGGCGCGGACGGGAGAGAACGGGGCTCTCTGGTATGGAGCGCTGGAGCGCATGACCGCAGAAGTCTGTGTGTTTTGTTGTGTTGTTCCCAACCATCCTGTGCTGTTGGGTCCCCGTTTTGAAGAGACAGCGCCCCGCGTTCACTCCTTCCTTCCTCCCGCTGCCCCCTGTGCCCCCTCCTCCCTCCTCCCCCTCCGCGTCAGCCACACCCATTTCGGCACACCCCTCACACGTTTCGTGGCCCCATAGGGAGCCCCACCGAGGGCCCCAATGGCTTCGTCCGCATGGCGGCACCGCACCCATTTCGGCACACCCCTCACACGTTTCGTGGCCCCATAGGGAGCCCCACCGAGGGCCCCAATGGCTTCGTCCGCATGGCGGCACCGCACCCATTTCGGCACACCCCTCACACGTTTCGTGGCCCCATAGGGAGCTCCACCGAGGGCCCCAGTGGCTGCGTCCGCATGGCGGCACCGCACCCATTTGGGCACACCCCTCACACGTTTCGTGGCCCCATACGGAGCTCTCTCTCATTCGTTCAACCTGCTTTGCGGTACTCGTAACTGCATATGGTTGGGTCCATCGCCAGTTTTTTTTTTTTTTTGTGTGTGTGTTTGTGTGTTTTGTTGTGTTGTGTTGTGTTTTTGTTTGTGTTGTTTTCGTGCTGTGTTGTGTTTGTGTTGTATGTTTTGGTGTGTTTCTTTATGTTTTTTTGTTTTTTTGTTTTTGGTGTGTGTGTGTGTGTGTTTGTTTTGTGTGTGTTTTTCCCACGGACGCCGAGCACCGATGCTGGCGCGACTTTGCTTCGTCCCCTGCGCCCCGCACGCGGCGCAGGGCCTTGGGCCTCGCCTCGGGCGGGGCTGCGCCCCGCGCCCTCGCGCCCGCGGAGGGCCCTTGACAGAGCGAGCGGGACGCGCGCCGCGGCTCCCTGGCACACCGGGGAGGCCAAGGGGGGGCAAAGGAGGGGCGGGCAGCCTGAGGCAGAACATCCCTGGTCCGCACCGACTATCGGGCGGCCTCCTCTCTGGCTCGAATCCGCTCGGCGAGTGCGCGCAATCGATCGTTGTCGACGAGTCGCGCACTTCCTGCCGCCGCGGGGCCTGGAGGAGCAAGCAGCACCGTCTTGGGCGGTGCTCGGGACGCGGGATGGAGAAGTCGGGGCGGAGGGGGCTTCGGGGCTGCTGGGAACTGGGGGAGCGTGGCCGGCGGGGCGGGCGCCGAGCCGTGCGGGCAGAATGAAGAGGTAGGGCCAGAGGGCAGAGGGCGGCCCCGCAGAGTGACAAGACGGCCCACGCCATGATCTTCATCTCGGGGAACATTTTGGCCTCCCCGCCTTCTCGGCTGAAGACGATCTCCGCAAAGCCCGTTTGAGAGCCCTAGGGCGCTCAAGAAAACCCACCGAGTGCCCAAGAGGGCCCCCAGGAGACTCAGGACAGCCCTAAGAGAACCTCAAGGCCAGTCGAGCGGGCCCCCAAGGTGAGCTCAAGACGGCTCAAAAGGGATCTGGAACGTCTCCAAATGCCTCCAAACGGCCCCGTGGCAACGGCTGGATGAGTACGGCAACGGTCAGAGAAACAACCCTTGTATAATGCACGCGCACATGCACATGCCCCTTGCCCACCTCGCGATTCAACACACGGACACGCCCTGTGGGTGCACCTTTGACCAGCATGTTCTTGCAGCGGAGGTCGTACAAGACCACTCCATCCTTGCGCCCCTCCCCACGCGAAGAAGAGTAAGCAACCGACGATCGACAAGACAGTGATCCATGCTCTGCCATGCACCGATCTGCTCCCCATGGCGGCTGAAGACGCGGAGTCGCCCTACGTGGAAGTAGGCGAGGGCAACCATCCGAAGGTCGGAAGGAGAGCCTATAGCTGATGCTTGACGCTCGTGATGATGCGGAGGGAAGGGGGAACGGACGAGGTCGAGAGCTCTGTCCAGGGCGCCGCCCCGTGACCGCGCTCCGTGGCGGAGGAAGAACTGGAAAACTGGAGAACAGCATGGCGAGAAACTTCCCTCGCGCGCAACACCAGACCGCACTGACTGCAGGCTCAGAGTCGCCGCCAACCAGCCACCAAGATGCTGCTGAAACAGAAGGACGACGAGCGGCGTAAACATAGCGAAGTTGAGCAACGTCGCAATTGAGTCGGAGGGAAGCCCCTTCCCTTCGATCCCTCCCCCGCCAGGGGGGGGGGAGGGCGGGAGGGGTCCCCGGGGGGGGGGGGTCAGATACGGCGCCCACCCCAGGGAGTCCCGGAGCCCCAAAAAGCCCAAGACGGGCCAAGAGTGCCCCAAGAGGCCCCAAAGACAGTTCAAGAGAACCCCGAATCGCCGAACGATCTGTCCAAGACGCCTTGACGGCCTCCAGACCGCCCAAGAGGCCTGCAAAGCGCCCCAAGAGGCCTCCAGGAGCTTTCCCACGAGAGCCCCAAGAGGCAACATTCACAGATGTCCAATACGTTTTTGACAGATTTTGGCGTTCTTGCCTCTTCCGCTTCCCGACGCGCCAAGATGGCCCAAGAGGCCCCCAAGATCGCCCCGAGACGGCCCAAGAGGCCCCCAAGAGGGTTCCCTCTGCAGAGGGCCCCAAGACGGCCCAAGACGCATCCAAGACGGCCCAAGAGGCCCCCAATATTGCCCCAAGACAGCCCAGGAGAGCCTCAAATCGCCCAGGAGGCCTCCAAGAGTGCCTCGAGACGGCGCAAGAGCCCTGGACGGCCCAAGACGGCCTCAAGACAGCCCCAGGCTGTCCCAAGAAAGCCTCTGGCCTCCTCCTCTTCCTCCTCCTCCTCCTCCTCGTCCCTCGTCCTCCTCCTCCTCCTCCTCCTCCTCCTCCTCCTCCTCCTCCTCCTCCTCCTCCCCCTCCTCCTCCTCCTCCTCTCCTCCTCCTCCCCCTCCCCCCCCCTCTGCTCCCCCTCCTCCTGCTCTCCTCTGCCTCCTTCTCCTCCTCTTGCTTCTCCTCCACATCCTTCTCCCCCCTCCTCCTCCCTCATCCACCTCCTCCACCCTTCCTCCACCTCCCACTCATCCTCCTCCCCCTGCCCCCCCCCTCTCGTTTTCATCTTCGTCGTTCTCAGGGTCGGCGGCGCCGGCCGTAAGGACTTCGCAAGAGAAGAACGACAAGCGGCGTAAACACAATCTCTCAGAGTTCCGCGCGGAATTCTTGGATCAGCGCTGGGCCCCCCTACCTGGCGCGCGGAGCGCGCCAAGGGCGGCGCCGGAGGCGTCGCCAGGGGGGCCCAGCGCTGATCTGAGGAACCCGCGCGGACCTCCGAATTTTTGTGTTAATGTATTTGCTGGTTCCCTGATGAAAACATCGTAGTGGGCAACACTGCAACCGACTGCCGCGCAGCCGGCCCGACCGGACTGCGGACACCCCTGGGTACGGCAGGTTCGCGTCGTGTCGACCCTGGCGTTGGTTCCTGACACCGCGGGGATCGTTCAATCTTGCACGATCGGCCGTTTCCGAAACGTCAGCTCGTTCCATCTTGCTCGATTCGGGGTCGCCAGCGGCGCTCAACGTTGACCGCCGGCTGCGGGGTCACCGCAGGTCGACACGACGCGAACCTACCGTACTCAAGATTTCCTAACTGGCCATCGCTCGGACGTCCATTTCCTGTGTCTTTTTCGGTTTCGTGCGTGGTTTTTTCGCCAAATGATCGAGGATGTTCCTCGATGGTCCTCGCCGAAGGAAAACTGCACACGTCCGAGCGATGCCAAGATAAGAAAGAGTGGCTCTGATTGGGGGGGTCTGATCTGAGCTGTCTAGGAGGGTTCCGCAGGGCTGCGGCAAAAGGCCGCTTTGCCGTGGCTGGTCTGGGGGGCGGGGGTCTAAAGTTGCTCGCCTGGGAGTTTGTGACCCCCCCCCCCTTGTTGTGAACTTCGGAGTCGCTAAACCCGAGCCCGCCTTCCAGCAGGGCAAGACCTCGCGCGACAGGGTGCTGCGAGGTAAGGCGTACCCCGCCGAGCAGGGCGTGTGTGCTTGACGAACCGCGGGGGCGCACGCCAGGTGAGGAATCCGCGCTCTGGTCTGCCAGCGTGGAGCGGGCAGTGAACGCAGTGCGAGCTCGAGGGGCAACGTCAGTGGGGGGCCAGCTCAGGGGGAGACACATCGAGCTGGATTCGGCGATACATCGCCGATAGACCGCCCATATCGAACTCGCACGTTCCCGGGCGGGGTGGGCTATCGGGCCCCCCCCCCCGATCCTACCCCTCCTCAACGCTGACCCTGAAAGAAACGGAGGACTAGGGGATAGAGGACATCGGTTCTTGAAAGATGAGCTCTTCTCCAACATTGTCCGGGGGGATATCGGCCCCATCGCGGTGGCTAACACTTTCAGAATTTGTTGTTTGTTTTGATGTGCTCGGAAAATGCCCTCCAAAGGCCCGAATTGAAGAAAGACCAGCCGTCACGATTCCTCAGTGACGCTAGATCTGAGGGAAGGAGAGCGGTGTAGATGGGGAGGCGAGCGGATCTTTCGGGTCGGACGAGGAGGGTGGGGCTAACGGATGGCAGGTTAGCAAATCAGCCCACGTAGCTGGTTTCTCCGGCGCCTCCTCAAGGCGCCCGGCGGTGGAGCCGAAATCAGCTGCATGCGGCAGGTTTGGCCCCCCGTCTTCCCCCCCCACCTCCCTTTCGTCCTCTCCGATACCTCCACGCCCAGCGCGGCGAGGGGAGCATCGGCGCAGGAGGGAGGCATCGAGGCGGAGGAGGAGGAGGCATCGAGGGGGATGTATCGAGGAGGAGGTGGAGGAGGAGGAGAAGGAGGAGGAGGAGGGGGATTTGTTTGACATAGTCATGCTGGGCAGCTCCAGGCCCGTCTGCAGCACCGCGGCGAGGACGAAAATGCCGAAGTAGAGGGAGAAGGGATAGGAGACGAAGTAGATGTCGAGAAGGAGGAGGAGGCAGGAAGGAGGAGGAGGAGAAGGAGGAGGAGGCAGGACAGGAGGAGGAGGAGGAGGAGGAGGAGGAGGAGGAGGAGGACGGGAGGCGTCGAGAAGGACGCATCGAGGATTCCATCCCTCTCGTCCGACCCGGGGCCTCTGCCGGGCGACGCCCTGTGGGCTCTCGGTGGGCTCACGGATGTCCGACCCGAGGGCGGCGACACCACGGTGTGTAGAGGCCTCCTAGAAGGGGTCCGAACAGATGGGGTCGGAGGATCTCGCCGCATCGCCGATGTGTCGGCGATGCCTTGGCGACGTCGGCGATGCGTCGGCGACGTCGGCGAGGAGAAAATTGGCCCCCACATCAAGCCGCATCGCCGATGCATCAGCGATGCGGCGCGATCCTCCGACCCCATCTACCCCGACCCCCTCCAGGAGTCCCAGAATGGACGGCGGGGTCGCTCGCGGCCCGCCGGGGAAGGCGAGCGAGCGCCGACACCGTTCCGTGCCTGCGCGGGGGAAGCTCCCTAAGGAGGTCGGCGGCGGGTTCGGAACCCCTCATAGGTGGTGAGAGTGGTCCTCGGATGCTCCTTCTGGGGACCTTCCTGAAGACATTTGCTCCACTCGTGCGTCGAAGCTGCGTCGAACGTCCGTCGACTTGAGTCGACCTTGAGTCGAACCTGAGCCGAACCTGAGTCGAATTCGAGTCGAACTCGAGTCGAACTTGAATCGAACTGGGGTTGAACTAGAGTCGACCAGATCCGTTTAGCGGGCCGCAAGAAGGTTCTCAACACGAGCGTCTGGTGGTCAGTCCAAGTGTCTCCGCGGGCCAAGCGGAGTCGATCTGCAGGTTGGCTCAGCTCCGGGGCCGAGACAGAGGCCCTGTTGCACGTCCGATTGTCTGGGCTGCAGCCCGACGGGGCTCAGGAAGGGGCTGGGAGGAGACGGAGGGGGGAAGGGGGGAAGGCTTCTTAGAATTGCATTTTTGGTTGCCCTTCTGAGGCCCGAATCTTGGAAATGCTACAAAATGTCAACAAAATGTCTTTGTGGTGTTCTGGGAGAGACATGCGCAAAAACAATTTATTATCTTTAGAAATTGTTTTCGCAACCCAGAGAATTTCCAATGGAGAAACAATTGGTTAGATTTAAAAGTTGGTTTCGCAACCAAGGGAACAGGTTCTATCTGCGCAACAGCGAAAAGCGCGCCAGTTGCGCTGTGATGGGCAGGGGGCGCGCGCCAGCGAGGTCGCGCACTTGCTAAGGTCCTGACCGCCCTACTTCGGACGCGCAGCTCCAATCATCTCAAGCAGCGGCGCGCCATTCGAGCCGCGGCGGCCACCCCTCCTGGCTTCGCGCGCCCCATAGGTTCCCAGTGCCCACAGGTGGCCTCGTGATGGCCCGAGACGCCTCGGGCCCAGCAGGGGGGGGGCGCATGCGGCCGCACGCCCACTCTGGCACACCCCGCACACGTTCCGAGGCCCCGTTCGGAGCTCCACGGAAAGCCCCTCTGGGAATGGCCGCATGCCGCCGCCAGCCTATTTTGGCACACCCTCTCAACGCATCGTGGCACCGCAGGGAGCCCCGCCGAAAGCCCCCGACGGACCCCCGCGACTAGCGCGACAGGGGCGGACCACGGGTGCCAGAACGCCCTACAGCCTCTTTGGGAACCGCCCGTGCAAGGACGACGCCAGTTCGCTTGCGAACTGGGTATGAACTGGCTGGCGGCGTCGCGCGCAGCGCTGATGGTATCACGAGCCATTCAACTAACCCCACATGGACGTTGAACGCGGTTGGTCTGCCGTGTTCTGCCTCCAGAAGCCA